GGTAATAAAGACTGAACGAGGAATGCTTATTTCCCGGAGATCCACGAGCGAATCGGTACGAGGTTAGCACTGAGAGAAAAGTATAGTCGAAGTGTAACCGAATTTCGCTGTATACATGTATATATAGCTACTATATTTGTAGTTCCAGAATTGGAAGGTATTTTAAATGTATTCCTGGTTCGATAAACATTTAGGTAATCTCTTCTAGAACGCACATTGAAATAAAAAAAAAAAAAAGGAACATCATTGACCGCAAATATCATCCTCCGAAACTTCTCTCTCAGTGTATGTAAAACGTATCACAAAACGTATTCGTAAAGAGAGAAAAAAAAAGAAAAGAATCTTAGTGTTTCACGATTACATCCTTTTACTGCCTAAAATTATCGTCACTTCTCATCCGAAGCAGTAAATCATAATACTCATCGTAGTTTGTACGAAGGTTTTAAATTTTTGGTAAATGGACGGGGAATTATATTTCTACGTCGGTTACGGAGCGACAGTATTAATGATACAGGTACCAGTAAACGTGTAAATACTCGCATATCAAGCCACTTTTTCTACTGCTGTTGTAGCAGTTTCTAAACATGAAAGAAAGAAGAAGAAAAAAAGAGAATCATCCGAGATATCCTTCAAGTTTTTCTACTCTTGTACAGAAAAATGTTACGAGAATATCGTGATGAAAGCCAGTCAGCCAGCAAAAACGTCTGTGTTTTGTATGTAAAAGTAACAGAATGTGTATGCCGTCTGTAACATTCTTCATCGTGTATGATTCAATTAACCTTTTGAAAAACAAATCCACCGATTGTGAAAGTTTTCAACACTGCCAATATGTTTGCTAAATATGTATGTCTCCGTTGGTTTATATAGTTTTTCATCGTCTCAATGCATATGTAATCTTCAAAGTATACGTTTATGAAAAAAAAAAAAAGTAATTGTTACTATTTGTCTTCTATAGTAATTTCGTAAAAAAAGAAAAAGAAGAAACAGAAAAGAGGGAGAAGGAGATATTTGTGAAACATAAACAATACACAGAAGTATATTTTTGCTTATTTTCTGGCATCGTATTTACTATATGACGAGGACAATATGATGACAAAGTGAAAGAGCAAGATTCCTACTCAACTGTACAGAGATCATTAACCCTTGATGTGTAGACTAGTTGCTGGACCTAACTCATTTAAGAGTTATTTTTATAGAACAAATTTATTTGTTCGAACGCAATTTCTCTGTAAGCATTGCTATGTAAGAACTACTACGTATAATGGCCAATGTGACTAAACGTAAGAAGAGAAGTATCACGTGTTAATTGTAAATGCTGAAACGATAATACCGCATATTGCACAACTCCGAACTTTTCATCCATTGAATTTCACATACATCAGTAAAGAAATAAAACTTCTGTTAATTATCAGGGTAATAGTACAAATATTCGCAAGACACGTTAATTGTTAAACTTGAAGAATGAAGTTTAAAAAACATCGCGACAGTTTGTTCCCTACATATCTTAACGAAGACACGCAACTTATAGTAACTACGCAATTAATAGTTCGATATTTATTCTTTCTATAGCGAGGAATCGGCAAATTTGTATTATTACTCTGGAATTATTGAAGCAAATTCTGCACAAACGTCAAAATGATGTGCTTTGAAGCAATAATATTACTAGGCGTTACAGCAATAACAGTTTAGGCTGTTGCATATATATGTAAACGCATATATTTTCCCTCGTATTCGATATTAATAGTTGCGCGTACATGTTAATGGTCGGTACGATAAACAATTGTACATCATTAACACTCATTCGCACGCTGCACTATGGAAAATTAAAAAAAAAAGCAACTGATACAATAATGTACCGCTTTGTTTCGTGTAAATAACTAGGTACTGTACTTTGTAAGTGTAAATATTGTAGAACTCTTCGTTAGCAAAAACTTCAACATGTTCTAGGCAATAAGGGACATTAAAGTTGAATGACATATAACTTTTGGATAAAGATTAATTATTGATTGAATAGCACAATGTTTTGTATATTTGTATATCTAATTTAATGATTTAATAATAAATTACCCTCTTTGCTCGATTGTTCACGTTATAAATAATTATTGTTTATGATATGTACAGTTGAAATTACATAATATGTTTACAATTGTTTTCAAAATATAAATATATACTCAGTTAAATATATGTAAATAAACATTTTATAATTACTATATTATTATGATTTTATTGCACTGAATTTCATGTGTTTCCTACACATCACTTTTTACAAGTACAATTAAAAGTAATATACCTTCAATGAAACCATATTCGATCTTCACAGGCACGGTTTATGGCATAATCGAACGGGTTAGGTAAACGTGTTCACATCTTCATTTTTCATACCAAGCGCGTATTCTCCGAAAACGACCGAGTATCTACGTACCTCGTTTGCTAGGCGCTCATTCGTTACGTTTCACCGTAACAAGCGTTTGACACTCCTTCCTACACTTCCTTCGAAATACACGCTGATTGGCTGATCGTGAATAATTTTAAAAACCAATCAGCGGGTCTAATTACGTCGCCAACACCCTTCCAGTGCGCCCTGAGCGCGCTTTTCCTTGGAAGGGTGGGAGACGGTAAAGGTGGAGATGGGCGAAATCGGCAACCGTGCGGGATTGCCGTTGGGTGATTACTCGGTTCGCGGACCGTTACAAAAATGTACCCTTCGGAAACTCGTGGTTTATGGCATGTCCTTAAGTTATTAAGCGCGAGAAGGCACGAATATTCTAAAAGGTAACAAAACAATTTGCCTTCTTTCGGTATGTTGAACTTCGACACATGCAAGTAATAAAGAAAGGTTCCAAAACTCAAAAATAACTATTTCTTTTCGGTCTAACCATAAACCGTGCCTGTGAAGCCCTACCACCATATTCATGGCAAATAAATTCATTCAAAACTCATATCTATTACTATTTATTATATACATCTATGAGCATTAGGTACCAAGTATATAGGTAGTACTTTTTGCAATTTGAGCTTTCAATTCAGAATTCTCTTTTCTTAATTGAGTTACTACTTGTCTTAGAGTTTTAGCCTCTTCTAGTAATTGAGCATTTTCATCTAAACTTTGTGTATAATTTTCTTGTACATCTCTTAACTCTGTAATGTATTGACATGCTCTTGCTAAAATTCCTCCTTTACTCTGTAAACAGACAGTTTTTATAAATGTTTGCAATAACAAGACTATGATGAGATGAGCCTACAAGTAGTATGTAGAATATGAGTATATAAATATTATGTGCTGTATTACCTGCAACTCAAAATTTGTTTTTACATCTCCATCTCCTGTTGTACTTTGCTCACATTCTGGTAAAAGCTTCCCCAACTTTGAAATCCAATTATTAATTTTATCCCTACGCCTCCTTTCAACTTCATTATGAGTTACCCTTCGTCTTTCATCCCTCTATGAAGTGTTATAAATTAATAATATTGCCCAATAATTCTTATTAGTTATAAATATAGAATAGGTTACCTTTTTAATATTAGTAAGAATATTTTGTGGATTATCTATTTGAAGTTTAACACGTGGTGCAACTGTTCTTGTAGATTCTGAGGTAACTACTTCACTACCGTTGCTAAGTACATAAAACTGTCCATTTATAGGTGATGTTAAAACTTGAACAGTGTTATTTATAGGTGCAGCTATTGACAATTCAGTATTATTTGTATGATTATCACCAACTTGCACCACACGGTATGCAACTGCATTATCATTTCTGTTTACTTCACATAACTGATATTGTATGTCTTCTTCTGTGACAGTTTCTATTTCTGTGTCACAATCTATTATTTCTGCTTCCTCTAAAACGACGCCGACATTGTCATTGCTAATTGTATTTTCATCCACACTACAAAATATTAAACATTTACAAAAGCATACAAAAAATTTAATTAATTTTCGAAAATTCCTCAAATTGAAACAAGTTTCTCTAAGATAAGTAGCGAAGTGCGTTCATGTATCGCTAACTCAATTGTTCTGTTCATATACTACGGAAAACGGTTTGTCTCTTAAAATTGTGAAAGGAAACAAGGAATGTACCTTTCGTCAATGTGATCAAAATGATTTAGAACTTCCATTTTATTTTACAAAAAGGAATTCCTTATAATCACGTTCTTTCTTGAACACAAGGATGCACCACATAGTACATACACCACTCTGTATTTTCTATAGATAATGCGTCATAGATTTGTAGAAATATGTGAACTACATTACTAATTAAAAAAAAAATAAGATATCTAAATACATTTCAAAAATAATTTTTAACATCTTTATATATGTTATTCTATCACATTTGAGAAATAATGTCTAATATTTGTAATAAAATAATATAGTACAGATATTATTTGGAACATACTTATACAAGCAACTTTTTAAGCTACGTAGTTATGAAATACATAAAAAGAACTTTATTTGAACATTTTATTTCATAATTTAAAGGTTTTATTTAAATTATTAATACATAAGTATTTGAATGATTATACATATAGAATTTTTGTATATGCAC